TTACACATTTTATTAAATTGCAAACTAAATCAACGATCCTGCTTCTCACCTGTCCGACAGTGACCAGGGCTCCTCTGCTGGACGCCATAGTGGCTCCTGAGAACAGCCTCCTGGTTCCCTCTGAGAGAAACACACGTTCAGAGAGACACATTCAAACATCTGCAGAAGATAATGACTGTGAGAGATCCTGAAATGGCTTCACCTTCCCGCCAGACCCTGAAGAGTCCGTCCAGCGCGTGTTTATAGCTGCGAGAGACACAGTTATGATTCAGATTAATCAGCTTATGAGCGTCCGGAGGGTTTTTAGATCTAGACTCACTCACTTTCTCCTCTGCTCCGCAGGAAGCTTCATATCGTTCTGCATCCTGTGGAGATCAACAACACGAAGCGCTCACACTCGGCCAGATGAGACAGAAAAACAAACACGTCAGTAACACAAACCCCGCGATACACACCGAACGTTAACCATATCTGCCGGAGTCCCGATGAAACCGCCGGTGAAGCCTGTGGAGAACAGCGCGGTGTGCTTTTAGCAATGTATGCATTAGGGTTCATATCATTCGTTAAAATAAAATAGGTAAAACAACTAAAACTGAAATAAAAAATATATATATTAAAAACTAAAGAAATAAAGTAATTGTGTCTATTACCTCACAATTCATATTTTTTTCTTAAATAGTTCTTAAAAAATATACATTTTGAGAAAAAACTCTCTTTACATATAAACTCGCAATTCTGAGAAAAAAGTCATAACTGAAAGATATAAACAGAATTACATATAACATAACCATCTCACAATTGTGTTTTTTTGTTAAATTTAATAAAAAATGAAAAGCGTGATCACACCTTTTTATCTAACAATATTTCTTACAATTGCGAGTTTATATCTTGTAATTCTGACTTTTTTCTCAGAATTGAAGGTTATGTCTTGCAATGTCTGAAAAAAAGTATATAGACAGCTTCACGAAAAAAAGAAGAAAAAAAAAAAGTAATTGTGACTTTTTCCTCAATCCTCACAATTCTTATTTTTTTCTTGCAGTTTTTAAAAAAATATGAATTTTGAAATTTAAAAAAACTATACATATAAACTAACAATTCTGAGTTCGAATAAAAAACTAATTTACATAAAAATGAAAAGGGTAATCACACCTTTTACCTAACAATTTTTTCTAACAATATTTCTTGTAATTACGAGTTTATCTTGTAATTCTGATTTTTTTTTTTTCTCAGAATTGAAGGTTATGTCTTGCAATTTCTGAAAAAAAGTGAACTTTATTTTTATTTTTTATTCCATGGCAGACACAAGTCTCCATACATATGAATAAAGAGAGAACACAACAAAATTACTTAAAGTTGAACTAAAATAAAACAAAAACGGTAAAATTTCAACATTAAAAAGAAAAAAAAAATCATATGTAAAATTCCCAACACTACAGTTAATGCAGGTTTTCTAAATCCGCTGGAACAGTTTCATATGCCATAATTATGCTGTAACTCTAATTCTGACACCGTCACATGACGTATGCTGTCATAATATCCCGGCCTGTAACTCTGTGTGTGTTTACCTCCGAACGCGCCCAGCAGGACTTTCTGATAGAAAGGCATTGGTCCCTGACCGCCGCTGCCCATCATGTCTCTGACCGTCTCATAGATGGCAAACCTGGTGAGAGAATACGACATCTGCAGAGACAGACAGAGATCCATTAGCATTATATGCCTATCTCCTGTGTTCACATTTGATCCTAAACAATGTTTAGGCAGTAAACAACACTAACAATCTTATCTCACGCTTAACCACGAGAGACTGCTGTTTCGTGTGTTTCTGGACGAGTTTCTGATATATTCAGGGCTGTATGTGAGCTGAGAATTGCCTCACAATGTCCACTTCCATAAAAGAAAACCGCTGAATTAAGGTTTCGATTAAATGCATCGCAGTCTTTCATGCCGTTACACAAAATCAAATGCCATTAATCTTCTAGAATAACCTTTAACCAGCTGCATTTGAAATACACCAGATTAATATTAGCTAAATAAAATGTCGACAATTTCTTTGGAGAATATGTCCACCTATTTTCCTCTCATGTTGTAAAATATTTAAAATTAAGTCAAATGAAGTCTATACTATTGGTAACGTTTTCTTCAATGTCATGGTGAATGTGTTCATTTAATCAGTCCTGCAGATCAGTTTCTGTGCGTCATCTATGCAGTTTGGCAGCTTTTGTTTCCAAAGCATTGGGAGTTAAAAGCATGACAATGCATTTTCACCAATTAAACAATGTGGATCAGTTTGTGTCCGCTTCTTCACGACTCAACATGAGTGTCTGAAGCTCAAACCATGCATGACACAGCGGCACATCCTGATCACATGGTGGGAAAACCAGCATTAACTCAAGCCAAAGTCTATATGTGGGAACTAGATCATTTCAGAGCCGCTGCTCATTACTCGCAGGATTCCCCGACACACACAAGACTGGTCTGAGATCAGGATCTGACCTGTCTGCAGAGCGAAGCGCTGAGGCCGTTGTAAAGCGCCAGCACACCGTCGTTCTTCACCACGTGCATCGCCATGCCAACCATCCTCATCTTCACCTCCTGCTGTGTCTGCAGGTGCACCTGTTCAACAACATCATCATCATTATTGTTATTAGTATTACATGATCATACCAGCAATAAGAGAACGTCTACAACAACCATTCAAAAGTGTGTGGTCGGTAGGGATTTCTAATGTTTACGAGTCTCTTTATTTGATCAAAAAAATACAGTAAAAGCAGTAAATATTATGAAATATTATTACAATTCAAAAGAGCTGTTTTCTAAGTGATTATATGTTAAAGTGTAATTTATTTCTGTGATGCGCAGCTGTATTTCCAGCGTCATTACTCCAGCCTTCAGTGTCACATGATCTTCAGAAATCAGTATAATATGCTGATCTGCTGCATTTCTGATTATTATCAATGTGGAAAACAGTTGTGCCGCACAATATTTTTTGCGGAAACTGTGATGCATTTTATTTTTCAGGATCCTCAGAGGAACAGACAGTTCAAAAGAACAGCATTTATTTGAAATGGAAAACCTTTTGTAACATTATAAATGTCTTTAATGTCACTTTTGATCAATTGAAGGCAGCCTTGATGAATAAGCGTGTGTAAAATGTGATTATACTATGTTCACTTGAGCATTAAATTCCTGTTGCAACATGCAACAGGTTGTAACAAAAGCTTAACGTTGACACAACAGCACACACACACACACACACACACACACACACTGTACTGCTCTGTGGGACGTTTGAACAGAGGCCAACAGTCGCTCTCACCAGCACGCCAACTATTTAGGCCAACAATAACTTCACATGTCTTTGTTCAAAGACTGTAATTATGTAATAATGTAGCGGTGCATGTGTAACTCTGCCTGGACTCACGCGGCTCTCGCTGTCTCTCATTAAACACAGATCTCTGAAGGGCAGCCGGGAGACCTTCATGTCAAGCAGCTCTTCAGAAGTGTTTTTGGCTTCAGTCAGAGTGAGTGTGTGTGTGTGGTTTTATGCCGCTTATCTGTGTCTTCTGTTTTGGTTTTAGTGGAGAGCAGACAAATCTGAGATCACTCAGCCTGCCATCACAGATACACATGAGAGCACTCGGACAATCTAAGACCAGAGAAAGCAAAGCGTCTCTCAGCTATCAGAGAACTGATTGTTTAGTAACTCTCATTCTTTCAATTCATTCATTCGTGTCTCATTCACTGCTAGAGCTTTCAAGCCACCTGATACTCGTCTTTGAGAAACTTTTGGGAGAAAAACAAAGTACAACTACACTCTTAAGAGCAGAAGGGCACTGAAGGACAAACAGAGACACAAGATAATCAAAGTCCACCAAACCGGACTCAACTGGACACACACACACACACACAGGTGGCAGACATGCGCTGACGTGTGTAACTCATGAGGAATCTGGACAAAAGCATGAACGGACTGCCAGCTCTCTGTCACATACACACGTGCGTTGATGTTAGGGCACGATAGTGAACTGATTTCCTCTCCCATAGAGCAGCACAGAACGAGCTGATCCTAAAATACCACTGGTCTCTAATATAAACACACCGCATGCAGGACATTCACAACCTTTCATTTAGAGGATGCATATGAAACATTTAACTATAACCCGTCCGGCTCTATTATAAGACCAAACGACTGTTTTAGTTGGAAAACCTTTTGTAACATTATAAATGTCTTTAATGTCACTTTTGATCAATTGAAGGCAGCCTTGATGAATAAGCGTGTGTAAAATGTGATTATACTATGTTCACTTGAGCATTAAATTCCTGTTGCAACATGCAACAGGTTGTAACAAAAGCTTAACGTTGACACAACAGCACACACACACACACACACACACACACACACTGTACTGCTCTGTGGGACGTTTGAACAGAGGCCAACAGTCGCTCTCACCAGCACGCCAACTATTTAGGCCAACAATAACTTCACATGTCTTTGTTCAAAGACTGTAATTATGTAATAATGTAGCGGTGCATGTGTAACTCTGCCTGGACTCACGCGGCTCTCGCTGTCTCTCATTAAACACAGATCTCTGAAGGGCAGCCGGGAGACCTTCATGTCAAGCAGCTCTTCAGAAGTGTTTTTGGCTTCAGTCAGAGTGAGTGTGTGTGTGTGGTTTTATGCCGCTTATCTGTGTCTTCTGTTTTGGTTTTAGTGGAGAGCAGACAAATCTGAGATCACTCAGCCTGCCATCACAGATACACATGAGAGCACTCGGACAATCTAAGACCAGAGAAAGCAAAGCGTCTCTCAGCTATCAGAGAACTGATTGTTTAGTAACTCTCATTCTTTCAATTCATTCATTCGTGTCTCATTCACTGCTAGAGCTTTCAAGCCACCTGATACTCGTCTTTGAGAAACTTTTGGGAGAAAAACAAAGTACAACTACACTCTTAAGAGCAGAAGGGCACTGAAGGACAAACAGAGACACAAGATAATCAAAGTCCACCAAACCGGACTCAACTGGACACACACACACACACACACAGGTGGCAGACATGCGCTGACGTGTGTAACTCATGAGGAATCTGGACAAAAGCATGAACGGACTGCCAGCTCTCTCTCACATACACACGTGCGTTGATGTTAGGGCACGATAGTGAACTGATTTCCTCTCCCATAGAGCAGCACAGAACGAGCTGATCCTAAAATACCACTGGTCTCTAATATAAACACACCGCATGCAGGACATTCACAACCTTTCATTTAGAGGATGCATATGAAACATTTAACTATAACCCGTCCGGCTCTATTATAAGACCAAACGACTGTTTTAGTTGAACTAGAACACAGTTCTGGACTGTAGTGTCCTTCAGTGAGGTTCCAGGACTTTAGGAAGTGACCTCTGTCCTGTTATAATGTGATTACACACTCATTCAATTGGTTTAGTTATATAGGACATCACATGAGACTGTTGAACTCTGTCCCAACTCAGATCACAGACTAGTATCTATGGGCTCGTCAATGGCTGATTTATATATATATATATATATAGAGAGAGAGAGAGAGAGTGCAGAATGACTGACACGCAACATATCAATACATACTAATTCAATTTGGAAAATCAGATGTTCATAAAATTGCTTTAAATTAACACTTATTTTACACAACATTAAATAAAAGTCCTAATATTTGTAAAACATATTTGACAAGGTGGTAGATTTTGGAGCACATTTCTTTCAAGGCTTTGCATGCAGATATTAAAATGCCAGAATATATAATTTTACTCCTGGATGTATGATATTCATTATGATCTAAATAGGCTGTTAGTGCACTTGGGAAAGGACAAACTATTTATCTGATGTATCACATTAAAATATGCATTACAATGTGGGACAGACACTTACTTCAAGTAATATTATGCTGAATGGCCAAAAAAAAATATTCAATACAATTTGCCAAGCCCGTCATGTGCAGATTTCTGAACAGACACACTTCTGTCGAGTAATATTAAGCTGATGTGATCAAAGTTGTCAAATTCAAGCTATCTGACAAAATATGCATCACATTTGGACAGATTAGCTGTCGGTAGATTTTGCAACAGATATTCTTAAAATGGCCTAATATTCCATTTGTTTAGCATAACAACACTCATTACAGTTTGACAGTAGGTCAGTAGGTTTTGAAATGGAGAAACTACAAGCATTGTTATTTTAATGGTGTTAAATTGAGCTAATGTTATCGGTCTGGCCGATATATTGCTCTCTCACTAATCATGAGAGCAATACTGCGAAAGAGCAGCCTGTAACTCAAACCCAAACACATGTGCTGTGCTCTGGCGGATGAGGATGAGGATGAAGATGAGGATGAGGATGCATCCACTCAAACATCAGCGCATCCTCGCGCGCGTCTCACCTTGACCAGGTCCAGCGGGTGCGTGCAGCAGGCGGCTCCGCACGACGCGATCCCCCCGAAATACCAGCGCGACATCCGTGTCTCCGTCATCTCTCCGGTTACCGTTAATCTCTCTCTCTCTCTCTCACTGTCTGTGTCTCGTTGCACGCGACGCGCTCTATCCTGGACTGCGCGTGTGGATGATCTCGCTAATCTACCGGTGACATCCTGAGTGCGTGGCGTGCGCGAGCTGACAGCAAAATTCAGGAGCAGCCAATTGCTCGCGCGGAATCTGGCACGGCCTCCCGGTGCGCCTGATCCACCTCCTATTGACACGCACGCAACACAATGCACGCAACACAATGCACACAACAAGAGAAACTCGTGCATCTGACTGCTCCGCGTTCATTGAGAACGAGCTCTGGACTCTTAAAGAGACAGTAGCCGCTGAGATACTAGACAGAGAGCGCGGAGTTAGCGCACTGTCACTTTAAGACCGAACACTTCCTCATTCTTGCGCAGCTTCCAGAGCCATGCACTGCCACTATTGAGCTGCTGGTAAACATGTTGAGTTAGACAATAAACGTTTGTTCTTCAGAAGTGTAGCCTGCTTATGTTACGATCGAACTGCCTGAATGAGTATCTCTTTATAATGTCCATTTATGATGTATAATAAACATATACAGTGTCAAAATAATCTGTTTGCTAATTTATATGATCCATTAATATGATCTATATGGCACTATATCTATTTTTTGCTTTTATTTTTTGCTTTTAAACCATCCTCAAAACAACTCTGAAGTGAGATATCCACAAACTAGTCAATGATTAATAATTATTTTTAATATTTAACTGATGGGACTTTACTCTTGTGCTAGTGTTGTAATTATTGTAAGAAACAGAGATTGAGAAAATCTGTGAAGAAATGTTGATAGGTAAAAAAAAATCAGAGATTTTCTGTTGAAGTAAAAATCAATCAAAAAGTTAATTGTAGTTTCTTGTATTTGCACTATATATATATATATATATATATGCACATATGTGACCCTGCAGCACAAAAGCAGTGTTAAGTCGCTGGGGGATATTTGTAGCAATAGCCAAAAATACAT